AGGTATGGCTATTTTAAGGTTCGGAAAAAAAAAAAATTGAAGGCACTCAATTACTCTTATGAGGTAACACTACATTTTGAGGACTCGGGGCGAGTCCTTCACAACCAAGAGAGAATGATGCGCAACAAGAATAGAGAAAATAATAAAACAAATGGTCACATGCATAAAGTTCAAGGGACATGGAGTTTGGTGGCTACTTTTATGGGAAATTTGAATTAACATTAAATATTATTAGTATTTCCAATTCTCTTTATTTTATAGTTCCAATGTATGTTTTTAATATTTGCAACTCTTCAGTTTTTCTTAATTGTCTATTTAAACAGACTTTTGTATTGAGAAGTTCAAGTTTGAATATAATTGAAAGTCTTTAGTTAGAGTTATATTGTTTGTGTTCTTCCTGTTCTTTTGGTTTCCCTTGTCCTACATCAGTAACCCCCTCCTTTTGATCAAAAAATATATATAGAAACTTCAGTTGATTTAAACCAATGGAAGTGAAGAATAATGGTTTCACAACACGCTAGAATCAAATGAATGATTAATTGATTATATTGTCATTTACATTAATGTTGACATATACATTTTCATATGAAGAAAACATTCAAATTTTGAAGTACTGAATATTTTTATAGATTGTCACAGTTGGATGTTTGGATTTGAACGTGTCTTATTGTAATCTCAAGGAGTGTTTAACTATAGTACGCGCGCACGGCCGGAAATTATGGAATTTGTGCATGACTGGAAATTATGGAATTTTCGACTATCTGAAAGTGATCTCAAATCAAGTCGAAAGTAAAAAGTGGTCTAAAATAGCAACAAAGGTTTTTTTGTATACCAAAAATGATCGGAACAAGACTTTCGACTTAATTTAATATCACTTTCAGATGATCAAAAGATCAAAAATTCTATAATTTTCAGCAGTGAATCCATCAATGTCATACACAATCATATAGATACATCACATATATAAAAAGTAATTTGGATAGTGAAAATTCAACGTGATTAAATAATACAAAAGGCATTAATTAAAAAGGAAGCACAATTCAGTGAATTCACTCGATCTGTATTTTTTAATTACATAAGATAGAAAAATATATAAAATAAATGCATAATTTAGACTTTTAATGCTGCTCCTTTTATAAGAGCATCCATTAGGGGATTTAGGAGTAATTTTTTAGGAGAAATGAGTGAGGCGAGAGGGAAGAAAGAGAGTATATGGGGTTATTGCACGAGGATGAAGTTTTTTTTTTTTTTTTTGGAATGTTACTGACTCTATTACAATGTAGTACGGTTGACTCTATTACAATGTAGTACGGTTCACAGTTACTTTGTTAACCTACTGAAGCACAAAAAGTCAATGACGCCTCCACTATGGGAGTACAACCTTGGTGCCATTAGACCACAAGGTCTTCGCAAGTCTTTTTGTCTTCTTGAGTGGGCCCCACAAAGAAAAAGAAAGAGTAGATTTGTTCGCGTGAAGTGCACATTTGCGCCTAGTCGGGCGTGTGCAGTGCATGTGCAGTGTATGTGTCCGATGGGCGCATTTAGAGACTTTTTTTTTTTTTTGCTGACATTTCGTTTTTTGTTTTTTTTTTTTTTTTTGGTTTTACCTCCCTCTCTCATTTTCTCTTTTCTAACCACATCTACAAAAATTCTTCAAGAATCAACACGTGGATTGCACGATTAAATAGTGTGTTACAACTAAATTATCTAGTGGATTGGTAAGAAAGGAACCCAAAATAAGCAAAGAAAAGAACACAAACAAATTAAATTAAAGCAAATAATAAATCAAAATGAGCTCCTATAATATAAGGTTGTCCAAAATGAGGGAATTTTAACTCGCCACAATTACATAACGTCATGAGTTGCTACAAACAATACAATAAGCTAATTAACACTAATGGCAATATTTGTAATAGCTAGCTAGGCTGCTTCTTCTCGGAGCTTCTTTTTTATCCAAGCAGGATTATCATCCATAATTCTGAAAAAAGCCTTACGTCGGGACTTGAGCAAGTTCCCAAGCCAAGAACACCTCTAGATTGCTATGGATGTACTCCAGTGCAGATTTCTAGAATTCTTGGGACTTCTTGAAGTCATCAATCCCAGCTTGTCGAGCAAAAAAGAGTTCGGCCTCCAAAGCTTTGATCTTCTCAGCCATCTCTTTAGTAGATTCATTCACAACCCCAATTCCAATCTCCTCAACCTCAGGTTTGGGCTCAATAAGATCATCATTAGCTGGTACGGGTACTAATTCTGGTGGTGCAGCTTCAGCTTCAGCTTCTTTATGCTCATATAGGATCTCAATTTTCTCCTTACTGGCATAGTAATTACAGGAGCGAGGAACACTGGCTATTTTCTTTGCATAGGTCAAGAGTTCATCCGTTTCTTCGGGCATGGGGAAATATATAACCCGGGTGGCCCAGACATTAACGAAACATATTTGAGATGCTGGGAGCCGGACTTTGAAAAACCTTTCTTTCCAACCGCTGTGGGAGGAGGGAAGGTCCGTCACAAATTTAAGACCGCGACGGGAGGAGATGGTGACAAAGCTCTGGTTTTCAGCCAGTGCGCCAGATTCAACATTGAACAAGTAATGGAAGAGGGACTGAGACAGAGGAATATCGCATTCCTTACAGACGTTCAGAAAAACGACTAGGAATTTGTACCCATTGGGTGCTAATTGAGCCGGTATGATTTTATGGGTGTTCATAAATTCTGAGATGAACGGGTGTAGAGGAAAGCGGAGGCCGCACTTGATCGAGTTGTAGTGCACGCCTACTTCTAAGGAATTGGCATCCGCAGTGCAATGATCGACGATCGAGATTTCAGGATTCGCGTTGATAATCTCAACGTTTGGCCCTAAAAGTTCTTTGGCTTTGGAAAGGTATAAAAGCAAAATTTTGGGCTTTATAGTTTGAGCCACATTTGGGTCTAGGCTATAGTAGCTTGGTTTTGGTGAAGGGAAGGCCGGGCCACGCTTATGTTTGGCGGCTTTGAATTTACAATTATGTGGATGGAGAGGGAAGCCAGAGTATGTTGCCAAAAAAAAAAAAAAAAAAAACAATGTTTTGTGTGTGCATTTAGCACATTTCTTGCACCCAGTTGGCACATGCACTGCACACTCCCGCGTGTAGATAGCAGTTTTAAAAAATTTTGCATTTTTCTTTTCTTTTTTTTCCTCCCTTTACTCCCGCCTTCTCTATATTCTATTTGGCATTTAAAATCTATGTATAAAAACCCAACAGATGGGTTTGCTCTAAAGATCTTTGGCTATGGAAAGATATAAAGGTGAAATTTTGGGCTTTATAGTTTGAGCCACATTAAGATTTTGGCGAAGGGAAGGGAAAGCAGGACCACGTTTGCGTTTGGCTTTGTATTGAGAAACAGATGGGGTGGAGGAGGAAACATGTGACACTTACTTGCTACGGAGTATGAATTAGTCAAAAATTGAGGGCCTAGACGAGTCAATCAATTAATAACCATTTTAATACAAGTATGTGAGGGTAGGAAAGAAATATTTCTTGAATTTGCCATTACTTAACATCTAACTGTTGAAGTAACGGTTTAATTTTTTCAAATAAGTGTGCCAAATGCACACAAACATTCAAAAATATATATATATATATATATATATATATATATATATATATATATATATATATATATTCAATAATGAAAGAGAGACTAAGAGTGTGAAATATCACATTTCTTACAAACATTCAAAAAAAATTATCAAAAATTTGTACTAATTATTAGATGCTAATAGGGCATGTATAATTTTATGGGCATTCAAAAATCAGAGATGAAAGGGTGCAGAGGAAAGTGAAGGTCGTACTTGATCGAGTCGAATTCCACACCTACATCTAAGGAATGATCCATGATAGAGTTTTCAGGATTCATTGTAATAATCTCAACGTTTGGTCCTAAAACCATCTCCAACTGTTTTCTTTCTTTTAATTTGGAATTTTTACAATGTGCAGGGGAGAGAAGACAAGAGAGGGAAGGAAGAGTATGTTGCAGAAAAATGATTGTTATTTTTTTGGACCCACAAGAAAAAAAAAAAAAGTAATGCTTTGTGTGTGCGTTTAGCACACCTCTCTCACCCAGTTGGCACGCACCAACTTGACGCTTGGAGAGCACTTTTTAAAATTTTTGTATTTTTCTTGTGTTTTTTCTTCCCTTTACTCCTGCCTTCTCTATATCCTATTTGGCATTTAAATCTCTCTACAAAAACCCAACGGATGGGTTTGCTCTAAAAAAAAAAAAATCTTTGGCTATGGAAAGATATAAAGGGGAAATTTTGGACTTTATGGCCGGTTTGAACCACATTAAGGTTTTGGCAAAGGGGAATCTAAGCAGGACCAAGTTTGTGTTTGACTTTGTATTGGGAAACAGATGAGTGTGGAGGAGGAAACATCGTGAGAGGGTATATTTAAGAGCCTAGATGAGGCGATTAATAGTCATTTTTATACATGTGAGGGAAGGGAACAAATATTTTCTGAATTTGTCATTACTTAACATCTAACTGTTAAAGTAATGGTCTAATTTTTTCAAATAATTGTGCCCCAATCGTCTACCTTTTCAAATAAGTGTGCACGCTCACCAAAAGTGCATACGTTAACGTAGATCCTAATTTGTTTAGAAATAGGAGATCCTTAAGATGTTGTGTCTTTATGGTTTCAAATACATTTCTATATGATCCTCGGTAAGTTTAATGTGAATAAATGAATAGTTTACTTGAATAAGAAAATATTATTCATTTGTTAGTATCTGACCATACATATTTTTTCATCCTAATGAAGCTATTAAGGTTCAAACTTCTTCATGAGAACAATCTTGAATTCTTTCTATATATATATATATATATATATATATATATATATATATATATATATATATACCATCATCATACATTTCATCTCTGAAAATGACCTGAATTAACATAATAATCATCTACAATCAACCACTAAACAATATGAAAGAAAAAAAAAAGTCTTATTTAAATCATCTAAAGATAGATGAAATCCTGGTGATGATATGCTAGTTTCTTGGTGCGAGAAGAACGCCTTAGTAGTCCTCCTTCGTCTTGCCTTCCGTCTTCCCCTGATTGAGTTTGTTGAATGTTTTCCGGTACTTGCGGCGGCTGTTCCGTTAATTGCGGTGGCGGCTCTGTTGGGATAACTGCAGCAGAGCTCTCATGGTTGTCCATGGCCGACACAAATCTCTTCCTCCATTGTTGTTTCACGGCTTCCGAGATCAATGTATCACCGACCATAGGATTCCAAGCATCCCCTTTAGCACTAGCGAGAGCCCAATTCACTTTCGATGGAGGCCTCTCAAACCACTCTTCTATTATCTGCAAAATAACGTATATCTTGTATTCCATCAATACAGGTTTTATATAGTCATAACTTTACAGACAAACTCTAGTCGTTCAGGTTAACCAAACTACTTAGTTCAGGTTAACCAAACTACTTAATAAGTCTTTTCAATTTGCATCAGTTCAAAATAACCTTATAGTCATAAGGTTACTGACAAGACAAACTCTGGTCATTCAATCAACCAAACTACTTAATAAGCCTAATCAATTTGCATCAGTTCAAAATAACCTTATAGTCATAAGGTTTCTGACGAACTCTAGTCATTCAGGTCAACCAAACTACTTAATAAGTCTAGTCAATTTGCATCGGTTCAAAATAACCTCGGGAGGATTGGATGCAATGAGTTGAGGGGATTTTTGTTGTCTGCGAGTAACTGTTTCTCCATTGAGGTGTCTCTCCACTTCTCTCAATGATCTGAACCTTTTTCCGGTCTCCGGCTCTAAGTAATACTGCATCAATTAACATTTACTCATTACATAATTGAAACTAACTGTAAAATTATAGTCCCAATTTTTCAGGTATATATGGAATTGAAGATGGAGATGAGAAGAAGAAATTGAAGAATGATAGAGAAAATATATATAATGAATGTTAACCCTGTCAAATTTGGAGCCATAGGAGCGAGGGATTTCTTCAACACCCCAACCCTCCGGCAGACTGAACAGTGGGCGTGATGAGTTTGATGATGTGAAAGAGGAAGAGTTGGATTTCTCCATGCCCACCAATTCTCAAATGACGTGACAGAGTTGGAGTACAAAACCATAACAAATTAACATAACTGCTTTTGAATTCTTGGGATTAATGCTATCCCATATTTCCATTCACCTTACAACTTGTACCAAATTAATTTCTTTTTTTTTTTCAATTTTTGTTTATTTTTTCTTTTTTGTTATACACAAATAAAGTTAATATATATATATATATATATATATATATATATATATATATATATATATATATATATATAGAGAGAGAGAGAGGAGGAGGAGGAGGATTCCTATGAGAACACCTAAAAGATCAAATCTTGTGCATCAATCTAATAAATTTTAATGGTCTAGATCAATCGCGTTGGCATACATTTAATTGCATTCGCACACACTTAATCTAGATCAATCTAGACTATTAAATTTATTAGATTGATGCACAATATTTGATCTCATAATATTAGACCAATCTAGATCAATAGTATTTGCACACACTTAATCACGTTCGCACACACTTAATCTAGACCATTAAAATTAATTAGATTGATACACAAGATTTGATCTCACAATCTATTTTATGATCCTAAATCTATATATATATATATATATATATATATATATATATATATATATATATATATATATATATATATAATTAAAAAGTTGTCCTTTGGCTGAAACATAAACTTAATTTAATGAACTCGAAAAACAACATTAACCAAGTATAATTGCAAATTTGCCCAATAAAAAATATATTAGTAAATAACAATTTATACTTCAATGTTTAAGGATGTTTTATAATACCATTATAATTGTTATTAATATGGTGAATGGCCATTTTTTATTGAACACTAAATAATAACAAGAAAAAAAAAATTATTAAGGACTTAAGGTTGATACCATATTAGAACTATGGCAGTATATATAGCGTTGCTTATGCACGGTTCATAGTAATACTCAATTCTCATGGACACCAAGAGCACATATCAAAAGGAATTGAAGAAGAAAAATTCATACAAAAATTTAATTTAGCAAAAAGAAGAGAAAAGTTGAAATTTGAAAAGTTACGTTGAAAGCGTGAAAAGTTGAAAGTTGGAGAGGCAATAATAACGAGTTTGATGGTGTAAGAAACGAAGAGTACAGTTTTTCTGTGACCATTATATAGATGTAGAGTGATAAACAGTTTGACTAAATTAAAAATACAAAATATAACGTACTACTTTTAAATTGTTGATTGTGGGCCATGACGACTAAACTAAGAAAAAATTTAGGGAAAATTGTAATTTATGTCCTTCTATAATATGTCAATTATCAATGTCACCTCTGAATTATTAGTGGTGTAAATGTTGTCCCTCAATTTTCAAAACGGTACATATATTGTCCCTCCCGTATCATATGGGAGGTTAATATATGTACCATTCTGAAAATTGAGGGGCAACATTTACACTACGGGAGGGCACTATATGTACCGTTTTAAAAATTGAGGGGCAACATACACTACTAATAATTCATGGGTGATATTGATAATTGGCATATTATGAAGGAGCATAAATTACAATTTTCTCAAAAAATTTAACTTTGACCCAAATTAAGTAAATCTAAACAAACCTAGTACATACTGTCCGGTTAACACATTCAACTTTGGAACCAACCAAGTTAAACCTAAAGTTAAGGTAAGTTAGCAACTTATCAAAGATATTTCCGTTGCCGGGAATCGAACCCGCGTCCCCTGGGTGAAAGCCAGATATCTTAACCGCTGGACGACAACGGAATGACGATCTACTGCCTAAATAGTATTATCTAAGAAAATAATCTTTGCTTAAATAATTTATGTTAGTTAATTACCAACACATGGATGAAAACATGTTACGCAATAAATCTTTCATTCAATTCGTAGATTTAATATTAACAAACTAACATATAACTAATGTTTAAACAATTTTATTTAATTTCTAATTAAATATCTACCATAATTTTATCTTATTAAAATGTGGCAATGTCAATCGCTAAAGAATATAAAGAATTATTGCACTTATTAAATATTATCACAAATTATATTGTCGACTAGGCCGGGTCTACCTTGCATGGTTGATCATGATTCAAAACAACGTTATTGGTAGGGAATATCCCGACCGACATAGCTTCACCACGACCGAGGAGTCTTTGTCTCTTTCTTCTTGTCTTTGCAGGTAACAGGTCGGGCTCCACGAGAAGAACCCGGTCGTAGACCGACCGGAGTTGCCCGAGCGACGGTGTCGACCACCGAGCGGTGGCCCTTGGACGAAAGAGCTGACGAAGGACACGTGGCGGCTCTTTACATCGACAGGCAGGGCACCCGGGAGGATGACACGTGGTGGTTACGTGGAGGACATGCCGAACGGCTGGAATCCTGTCCCCGGCCTAGCGGCTATAAATACCCACAGTAGCTACAATGTAGAGGACTTTTGGACGATCGATAGGTTGTTGTTAGAGAATCCCGACCGCAGTCAGTCGGTACTCAGAGCAGCCAAGTAGATTGTACTTAGGGCCTTTACCGGGATCAATAAAGGTTTTACTTGCTTTAATTGGTCTCGTGTTATTTTATATTGCTTACCTAGAATTAGCAGTATCATTTTGGCGCCGTCTGTGGGGAACCGTGCAAGAAACCAACGTCTTGACGAGCACCCGATCACCATATCGACATGTATCCGTGGGCACATAACAACTTCGCCGACGACCAGGCGGATGCGGCGAGCTCCTCCGACCACTATGCTACCCAACAGCAGGGTCAGACGATGGACCTCAACCTCAACCTTTCACCACCGCATCCATCGAATACATACCCGGCCGCCCAGCAGCCGGTGAGTTACATACAACCGGGATACCCACCACCCGGTCTGCCATACCAGCAGCCGCCGATGATGTATCCCGCCCAGTATCCATACCCGGTCCCACCTCCACCGTATGGGTACTGGCCAGGCCAACCGATGTGCTACACTTCCCCGGTTGGTTATCCACCATATACGCCTGCCTATACAGCTCCAGCCGCCGCCCCTCCAGTACAACCGACCGCACAAGTAGAGCCGCAGCGTCAGTCCACTTCCCGGGCTCGACGCTCGGCTCATTCGCGGTTGGGGTCGGGGGGTGCTGATGCGATGGAGGCACCAGCTCAGGCCGTTCAAGCGGATGACCCTGAAGAGGTTGCCCGAGCGGTAGCTTTCGATCGTCTCCGACCAGAGATGCGCCAGCGTCTGGGGCTCCAAGACCCGAATCGCGGGCAAGAGGACGTACAAATGCAGGAGGCTAGCCATGAGGCTTCATCCGGGTATAGCGGGTCGAGATCTCACCGACGGCGACGCGCTCGGGATACAGCCCAAGCCGTTCAAGCCGCCGAGCTCAACGAAACCCGAGGATTGCTCTACAACCTCCAGGCTGAAGTTGCGCAGCTCAGGAGTGCGTATCCCACAGCACCCCCGGCCGACCGATCGACCCTACACCAGACGCCTTTCACAGCAGCGGTAATGGCTCAGCCTTACCCGCTCGACTTAAAGGTCTCGGGAGAGAAGAGTTATGACGGTCGGACAGACCCGGAGGCTCACGTGAATGACTTCTTCAGCAATATGATGCTGAAGGGCGTTTCAGACGCCGTGATGTGCAGGGCCTTCTACTCAACGCTTACCGGTCGGGCGGCAGAATGGTTCCGAACCCTGCAGCCGGGGTCAATCGACAAATTTGAGACCCTGGCGATCAAGTTTGTACGGAAGTTCATTACTTCCAAAGTGGTGAGGAAGTCCTACATGTACCTCGAAAAGGCCAAGAAGCTCGAAGGGGAAAGCCTGACCGACTTCCTTATCAAGTGGAAGGCGGCGGTCGGGGAGGTCGAGCCCATGGATGATGCGACCGCCACTCACATGCTTCACATCTCCCTCCGGGCGGGGTATCTGTACCAGGATTTTATCCTCCACCCCCCGACCACATATGAGGAGGCCCTCCGAAGGGTCACTGATTACGCCAACGCAGGTGAGGCGAATGCCGTTAAGCGCTTGCAGGAGGTCGGCTCTTCGTCTCGTAAACCGGCCGGCCGGGCGGAACATCGATCGGGAGATGACAATCCCCGACCCCGCACCAGGCATGGCGAGTTTACGGCCTTGAACCGATCCGCAGCGGAGGCCATGCAATATGCCCAGTCCTGCAATCTCATCAAACTTCCCCATCCCGATCGAGATGGCCCTGACAAGAGTAAGCATTGTGCTTACCATCGATGCGCCGGGCATGACACCGAGGAGTGTACCCACTTGCGCCAATTATTGGAAGATTTGCTCAATTTGGAAAAATTGGACAAGTGTGTGGGGAAGAGAGAGGAAAACAAGAGGAATACCGATCAGAGGGATCACAGACGATCTCATCACCGCTCTGATCGGTCGGGCCAGGACCGAAGAGACGATCGAAGGGACGATCGTCATGATGACCGACGGGACCCTGACCCTCCGTCCGGTAGCCGCCCATCCGGAAAACCTACCATCCACGTCATTTTTGGTGGGCTGGAAGATGCTTCCCGACCGAGGACGAATTGCCCGGTCGCAGTAGTGGATTCCCGAGAGACCGGGAAGAGGCAGAAGATGGAGCCCATAACCTTCACCCTCGAGGACCAACCTACCAGCGGTGATCACGGCATGGAGGCGCTCGTGGTCACAATTGACGTTAAGGGGACGGACGTCCAAAGGGTTATGGTTGACACGGGCAGCAGTGTGAACGTCCTATACTTGGACGTGTTTGAGAAGCTTGGCCTTGACAGGAAGGAGCTGACTCCGGTCGGTGTACCACTATCAGGATTCACCGGGGCTCCTGTTTACCCCGAGGGAAAAATAACGCTCCCGGTTGAGATCGGCACGCCTCCAAAGTCGATCCAAACGGAGCTGGAATTCGTTGTGGTCAACCTCCATTGCGTCCACAACATTATCTTGGGCCGACCCGCCATTATGAAGATCGGTGGGATAATTTCTATGCCTCACCTATGCATGAAATTCCCCACC